TTTTTTTTTTTTTTTTTTACTTTTTAAGACAAACTATCCATAACCTCCCTTATCCAAAGTTTTGAATAGTCATTACATTTTTTAGTTTTCATATTGGTTAATGTTATAATTCTAAATAATATACGTAAATTATTTTTTCACAATTTTCAAAAATATATTTTGGCTCCTTGTTTGGTAAAATGAGGAAAGTAATGCCTCTACCTTCATTACCACTGCAAAAACTAGATCACTTCCACCATCCCCTATCTGGACTTTTATTTATACATTGTTAAGGTTAATATTTATATTACATTTCTTAACTACAATTTTTTTTTGCTTTTTTATGTGTGCTAAAAAATAACAAAATATGGGGCGCCTGGGTGGCGCAGTCGGTTAAGCGTCCGACTTCAGCCAGGTCACGATCTCGCGGTCCGTGAGTTCGAGCCCCGCGTCAGGCTCTGGGCCGATGGCTGGGAGCCTGGAGCCTGTTTCCGATTCTGTGTCTCCCTCTCTCTCTGCCCCTCGCCCGTTCATGCTCTGTCTCTCTCTGTCCCAAAAATAAATAAATGTTGAAAAAAAATTAAAAAAAAAAATAACAAAATGTTACAATATTATGGCTTTGTAAATATTCCTAAGTACAGAGTCAAAAAGTATGCTATGATACATTTCCTTCCCAGTTTCTTAATTTCATGACCCATGTGCCACACTAAGGAGAAGACTTGTAATATTAACATCAGATTGATTTCTTCTTTCTTCCCCTATAATGACCAAAAAATTATGCCATAGTTAAGTGTGATTTATGTTTTGGGCCATGTACATCTTATATAGTTTTTAACCCTCCTCACTTTTACAAAGGACTTTCTGTTTTCTTTTGAGGGAAAGTTAGTTACATTGTTTTTTTTTTTTTTCACCAAATCCTTCCATCTTATGCTTTCTTTACCACGTCCTCTCATTCTTTGTATGAGAAGCTTCCATTCCATATCTTTGCTTGAAGATGTTCCCTTAAAGCCCAATTACTTTCTGTTTAATGTGAACAGATTACACTCTGGTAAGTTACATTGTTTCTTAACCACACATGTTCTGTTATTTGTTTTTCTCCTCTGTTTTGGTAGAACACATCCTAAGAATATTTATTCATAAAAGGTATGTGGATGTTAATTTTATTTTTTAATGTTCATATGGCTGTAAATTATTATTATTTATTTTTGCTATAATGATGGATAGTTTGGCAGGGTATAGAAGCAAAATTTTGTCTCTTTTAAGTCTTTCAAAGCTTCACTGTCCTCTAACTTTCCCTATTGCTCATGAGACAATGAGAATGCCACTCTTAATTTATTGAGGCCTGAACTATTTGTTTTCTCTCTGGAATGACTAAAAAATTTTAGTTTTCCTTGATGCTTTGAAAATGTATGATGACATGTCTTGTGAGTTTATTCTTGAAGTGAACTCATTGAAAGGAGCTAGGAAAAATGTCATAGTGTGGGTATTTTTCATTTACCCTCCTCGATATTATAAGCCTTTCTAATTTGAAGGTACAATTTCCCTTCAACTGTGGGGAATTTTTCTCCTATTCTGTCTTCTATAATTTATTCTCCTTTATTTTCCTCTTTCTCTTTTTGAAACTGTTGTAAGGTGGGTTTTGTATACTTGGTTTGATTTACTGTATCTATTATCTTTTCTCTTATGTTTTCATCTATTTGCTTTTTGTTCCATACTCTGAGGAGTTGTCTCAACTTTCTTTTCCAACACTTCAGTCTAACTTGGTAATAATTTAATTTCCAACCACTCATTTTTAATTATTCCTTCCTCATATTCTCTTAATTTTATTTTTTATAAGATACAATTTACATATCTTAAAATGCACTGATTTTAAGTGAGTAGTTTGATGAGTTTTGATACATGTAAACATCCATGTGACAAACACCACCCCAATCAAGATGCGGAACATCCAAAACTCCAAAAAAGTTCATTTTATCAATTTTTTCTTCTATGGTTAGTGCTTTTTGTTATCCTGCCTAAGAAATCTTTGCTATCCTAAGGTTGCATTTAGGTCTATAATCCATCTCAGATATTTGTGGATGTAACAGTAGGAATTGAGGGATTATTTTTTTTCTTTTCCATATGGATATATTGTTGTTCCAGCACCATTTGCTGAAAGACTGCCCTTTCCCTATTGATTTTCTTGGCCTTTGTTGGAAATCAATTCATTGTATTTTTAAATTTTTTTCAACTTAAAATTTAAAAAATATAAAGTATGTGGTCTCTAACACAAACATATGTAGATATAGAATATGGAAATTTGGAGCATAATAATAATATGAACACCCATTAAATCCACCAATTAAAAACTAAGATATTACTCAAGATTGTTGAAGCTTCTTATGGGTTCTTCCCTAATCTCACTCTGCTTTTCATACAGTGGTAACTGTATCCTCATGTTTTTCTTCTCCTTCCTTCCATCCTCCTCCCCTTCTTCCTCATTATTATTATTATCACCTTTTTAAAATTTTTTTTTTAAGGTTTATTCATTTTTTGTAGAGAGAGACAGAGCGTGAGTAGGGGAGGGGCAGAGAGAGAGGGAGACACAGAATCAAGCAGGCTCCATGCTCTGAACTGGCAGCACAGAGTCTGATGCGGGGCTCAAACTCACGGACCGTGAGATCGTGACCTGAGCTGAAGTCGGACGCTCAACCGACTGAGCCACCCAGTTGCCCCTACCTTACTTTTTAATATATTACCTCAAATGTACATACTCCTGAATTATTTATTATTCAGCTTTTCTTGTTGAATATTATGTATATTGGCATACATTTTATGTGCTTTTTTTTCCCCACCCAACATTATATTTAGATTTATCTATGCTGATATATGTTGCTACAATTTGCTTATTTTCTGTCATGTATACTCTTCCATCAGATGAACGTACAGTTTACTTAATCATTCACCTGTCTTTGGATATTTAAGTTTCCAGTTTGGGGATTAATAGGAACAACACCATGCTGATTTTTCTTGCATGTATCCCTTATTTATGTGTGTAGGACTTTCTGCCGGAATTGAATAGCAAAATAGTGTCAAACTGTTTTCCAGAGTGATTGTTTTAGTTTATATTCTCTTCATATTGTAACATTTTGTATTATCAAATTTAATTAATCAGATTTAACTATTACTCTCTGGCGGGTATAAATTCTCCTATAGTTTTAATGAGCAGTTTCTTGAATATTAATAAAGATGTTCATTTTCTCATATATGTACCAGCAACTCCTTTTTACTCTTTTGTGAAATATGTTTTGCTACACCTCTTTTTATGTAATATCATGTCAAATCTTTCTAAATATATTTCAACTTGTTTTGGTTTTCATTGTTTTCTTTTCCATAACTTATTTTAGTCACCTCCATGGCAGGTTTTTTTGTTTGTTTATTTTATTTTTTGCCCATTATGATGTGGTCTTTCTTCAACTATCTGATGATTCCTGGACAGTTCATTATTTTAGAATTAAGGAAGTCTGTCTGAGAGCTTTGTGTATATGGACAGGCTTGTTGACTGCTATTCTGTGTTTTAGGATGGCTGGGTAGATAGTTATATCTTAACTGGGGCCCTACAAATTCCAGAATTAAGAGCAGTTTGCCTTTGTCACCATGCCCATACTAGCTATTTATTATAATTCTCACAAAGTTGGTTTATTTCTAGGAAAGAAACTTACCTCTTTTCCTTTGAGAATAAATAACTAACTAGTAATGGGGGGCCAGTGACAAAGTTAATTCTTTTATTCTTCAGCCCTTTAAGTTATCATTCTCATTTCAAATCCTCTTCTGACTTCTGTTCCCCATTGTTTCTGCTTTTGTGATCTCAAGTTTCTGAATCTGAAGAGGCCCAACAGAGGTCTTGACTGCAATATACTTTATAGTTTCTTTCTTTTTCTTCTTAAAACAATACTTCATATGCCAAATGCTTTACTGGGGGTTTTTGGAACCTTTCATTAGGTCATGGCCCTTTTCTGTTTTCTTCCTTATTATGAATTTATACATTTAAAAGTATTTCCTTTTAATGTTTTTAATGAGGTTTCTGCACAGACATAAAAAGTGGTCTATTACTTTGATTTAGAATTCCAGCATTTTGATTGTGAAAGCTGAGAAAGGAAGAATGCAGTGCTGGACCAATGGAATGTCTTTGTAGTGAGACACCTGGGTGAAAGATCTTTTTGTTCAGTGACCTTTTTCATTGTGATTGCCCTAATGTGATTCAGATTGATTTTGAGCAGGTTTCTTAATTTCCAGGTTGCTTTGTTACATAACTCTGGGGCACTATTTGTTTTGGAGACCATGCCAATAGGATTGCCCTAGATATATACACGAAACATCTATCTTTAAACTGGAGGCAATAACATCTGTGAAGATTGTTGAGGGAATAAATTAAAACAGATCACATGGAAATTACCAAGCACAAAACCAAAACTTATTAGTTAAGTAACATAGAGGCTTCTGTTATCTAGTTTAATTTTTACTATTAATAGAGGCCTTGATAATTTAAAGGTAATGGTTGGAATACCTATTTCATCTTTTCTGACTTTACTTACTTTGCAAGAAGGAAAAATTCTTGATGGTCTATGGGTTGTTCAAGCTTTAGGTAAACAGAAGATCCTTATTAATGTGAATATGCAATAACAGACTTCCTCTTAACACTGGCAGACATCATGAGGAGGGAATGTTCTATTTTTTGCCTTTTTATGCCATTGAAAATCTTTGATTATGATTTAGAGCTACAATCTAAATTTATGATTGGGTGGTTTTTCCTCGTAGATATTATCTTGGAATTTTTTTTACTTTGATTCTTTTTACTGTGAAGTGTTCTGATTGGCATTTTCCTCCAAGTTATATATTATTAATCATATTTAAGGTGAGAAAACACTGGCTTAATTTTTGGTTGATCTGTCATAAAATTCTCTCCTTTTCCAGATTATCTTAGAAGATCTAGGCTTCTGAAATGTTTCCCCTGAAGGATGCTGAAATGGGTGCCTTTACCTTCTTTGCCTCAGCTCTGCCACATGATGTTTGTGGAAGTAATGGGCTTCCTCTTACACCAAATTCCATCAAAATTTTGGGGCGATTTCAAATCCTTAAGACCATCACTCATCCCAGACTTTGCCAGTATGTGGATATTTCTAGGGGAAAGCATGGTAAGTTGTTCTTTTCTTCTGTTTTTGTATTCTGTACTCTGTTACCTTGATTAGGTTACAAGTATATAGTGAGCGCATACAATAGTCAGTATATGTGGGTATGTGCATGCCCTCACCTTCAGTCCAGCCAAACTGAGTCTTTTGAGTTTTCCTGATTGCCCTGGCCCTTCACATGTCCCTGTTTTTATACTCTGCTATTTTCTTTCCTGGGTTATATTATTCTCTGCAATCTGAGCTTAATCCCTTTCCTAATTTCTTTTATATCTTTTATCAGATTTTATTATCATTTTCTATTTAAATTGTCTTTTTTGAGGATTCTCAGTTCTTGAAGATAAGGACTAAATGACTTTTGCCCCTAACCTCAGAGAGACAGTACTGCACCTGGTACATAGAAGGCATTCAGTAAGTGCTGAGTGAGTAAATTAATGAATGACTACATTTGAGAGATTCGTATTTCTCAGATCTGAGAATCAGGATTTTTAATTTTCTCTTTCAGAGAAACCACCTATCTTAAGTATATTTCTTCAATTCTGTAAAAAGGAAATGAAAGCTCTCATACCAGAAATTTGAGAAGTGTCTATTTAAATGTATTTTATGATTGAAAGTAGTTATTTGGGCTGTCTTCAAATGAAAACAGTCACTATTTTTTTCTTTTGGAATTTATTCTTTTCTTTCTTTCTCTTTTTTTTTTATGAGTTCAGAAGTGTTTATTGCCTTCTTATGTGGTTGCTGTGTAGGGCATAAGAAGGTATTGCATAAGCTGAGACACTTAATAGGTAAGAGAGCGATTAATGAATAAGCTGACTTTTCCTCGTTGCTGCTTTTATCAAAGGAAAAATGTTCTCAGCATTGGGCAACTAAATAAAAAGAGCCTCATTCCAGAAACAGAGGTTCCTCGTAGCACAGCAAATATTTCTGAGTCTCTTCTGAGCCATGTTGTGGTGGGGGAACAGAAACAGGAGCTGGTAGTTTGGAGGAGGGCCAGCCTCAGAGAACGTGTCCTCATCCCCCAACATAGTCAAGATTCAAAGAAATTATTGTATAGTCCATGATGTCCAAATGCTTCCCTGTCCATGCTGAAGCCTCTCTTCTTCCTTAAGGCCGGGAAGACTGTCATTCCGCCAGTGGACAGATCCCTGATGAGGCCCATAGGTTCACCGGGCAGACACCCCCTATTATTATTGCCACCTGACCCCTCATCATTGTTCCCTTTC